TATCAGGGACATTACATTACAAGTATTAACTACACAGTCAAACCTCGAAATACCGCCTGCCTCGGAATGAGCATTAAGTCGGCTGTTTGACAGTACTGGCGGTGCAACAATAACAGGTTCTCAGCCGTTTTAAGTTAAATAGCCCTGACTGCCCCAGTCAAGGGAAATGATTTTGCTGTGCAACCTGTGTTTGAGAAGTGTCTTCTTGTTGGCAAATTACATGTAGGCCTATTTGAAGCTGAGAGTCTTTCTCTCTCTCTCTCTCTCTCTCTCTCTCTCTCTCTCTCTCTCTCTCTCTCTCTCCCTCCCTCCCTCCCTCCCTCCCTCCCTCCCTCCCTCCCTCCCTCTCTCTCTCTCTCTCTCTCTCTCTCTCTCTCTCTCTCTCTCTCTCTCTCTCTCTCTCTCTCTGCTGTATTTGTTTGTGAGTGTACAATCTGCGGGTAGTCTTCGTCTGTAGGGTAATAAACAAAGTTACATCCAGCCAAGTACTACATCATAATCAAAACAGCGTTAAATTTTCCTTAGCACATTTTATTCAGAGTTCTCTGCATTTAGAACTGAGCCTGTCCTAAAACCTCAGCGCAAAAAGGACAAGAGACAAATTCAAAATAATTTTACAGTAACAGCAGGGAAATAATGGAATTTTACAAGCTTTCATTATATTTATTCAGAAAACAATACTGTCATTGACATTGTCAAGAAATTGAAACTTAAGATGAAAAATTTCAAACATATTTCATTATCAGGATCCACGTTAGTCTATAATATATATATGGATACTGCTCTCATAACTGGGGCATCGTGTTGAAATTACAGGCACTCGTCAAAATAATGAAATCAAAGAAACCAGCATTTCTCTGGCCGTAGGACAAATTTTTTAAATTAGAATTTTCCTTTTCTGTCCATTTAAAAACACAATTCTGTGGATTTTACTGAAAAACACTGACCGAAAGCTCAAAAAAGTGTAAATTTCCAGTTTCCAACGACCCTTGAGCTTTGTTGGATGTCACCAAACTTAAGCAGCCATTTTCTCACTAATCTTACGTTTCTTACATGTACCTCTGACATCCAATGACCCTCACCTACTCCTAAGGTATCAAATAAAAAGGGGGGGTAGGAATAAACAGGGGGGGGGGGGGAGTGTTGGACAAGTGGTCCAAAATTAATAAACCCCTTCCTTACGCCCTGGGTCATTTTGTACCCCCGGCGCTGTATTCTTCATATTTTAGAATACTTCTAGTGTGAAGATCTCTTTGAAACTTTCAGTATTTCACAAAAAATCATTTTCATGACAGACTGCTACTATGCAAATTTAAGCATTCGGATCGCCTGACTACACTACAATGCCTCACAATTATATAATTCACATAGAATGAAAGGGTAAAAGTAGCCTTCATGACAAATCAGATTGCATCAAAGGCCCAGCTCTAAGAAAACTGCAGCAGGCCATCAAGCAATGCTGCATAAACTCATTCTTTAGAAGAAAATGTAAACTCATAATTAGGAAAAGAAAGCACGTCTTTCTGAACTTGTACACGCATGTAGTTATCTTTTTGGGTAAGTGACAAGATAGTTATATGATGATATTTTATCCTTCATGTTTTTTCAGTTGTTTTTTGTTGGGTTTTTCTTTTTGGGGCGGGGGGCTTAGTTTAAGTTATTCTAGAGAAAAGAAAAAACTTAACTCTTTAGTCCGGCCAACCCCTCCCAGTGGTTCACAGTCAGAACCGCTGTGCTGGTGAGCCGCTAGCAGCACCCGTTCGGGCACATTCCTTTAAGACAACTTTGACATCAAATTACTTTTCAGCAATTGCTAAAAACAGGTCTTTATTACCGGGAGTTCATTCATTAGATGAAGAACTATCAAAAAAGGTTCACTTGTTTTGATTTAATTACCAATTTAGTGACGTTTTTGTCATTTTTAGATTTAGTACCTAAAAACGGCCCAGGTATTGTGGGTTTACCCCCCTCGGAGATAAAGAGTTAATGCACAGAAATGTGAGAAATCACTTGAAAGTCACAGAAGATTAAAAATAAAATACTGTAATCTGACAGTATGTTACAGTTGATATAATTAATACTTGTACTAGTTGTACAAACTTTTATGGAAAATACTGTACCTTTACAACAATGAGGGACATTCATTTCATGATAAATTCTTACCGTACCATATTTGGACAGCAAGCACTTTAATTCCATTTAACAGCATATGCATTATATCTATAAAATCCTGACAATATAATTGTCAGGCTAAACATCTGGATCTCTCACTAGTCTTGATGTAGAGACATGTAGGTTTCAAACCTTTTCCTCTTGACAGTCTGTTATTGAAAGCAAATAGTTGAGTGTGCTTACATGGCTAGAATCATACTCTAGAAGAACATCATCAGAAGATTTTGCACTGACATGTAGCTTATGCTGGCATCATTGGTATGCCTATCTATAGAAAATCCAATTTTCCATATGTGCTCTTCCACACAAAAACAAACAAACACATACACACACACACCACATCCCACTTGAACAGCCAACCCAAAATGTGTATTTGCAAAATTAAGTGCTCTTCCTCATGTAGCTTCTTTTTTTAAATTGCCTCCACTTATATTGTAGCTTTGATTTTCGTAATGTTTTTCATAAATATTCCATTTTAATTGTATTCGCATAGCAACTGTAACTATTAAGGCTATAGTTCTGTAAATAACAAAGTAATTAAACATGAAATACTAAAACACCTGTGATCATAAAAAAATAAGAACAAAAACATAAAAAAATTGGATGTTTTCATGAGGCTGGAAACAAGAGGTCATAAACAGTATGAAATATGGGAAATGAAGACAACACTTGTATATGTGACTCTCACATGATGAGAGAAGCTGCAGAAGACTTCAGAATTATAACAACAGGCTTGTCATTAATATAAATGGCCATTGAGTTCCCAAGTTCACTCCATTGGGAGAAAAGAGGAAGACAATAATACATAAACACTACAAAATTCACAGTGGTTCCCGTCTAAGAATCCCATCATTTGCAGACAGAAAAAAGGTTCTTCTTAAAAACACCAAGCTCTCAAGGGGCCCATCTCAGTTTCTACCTGTTGGCTTCTCTTTTTTATTCCAGGATGAAATAATGACTGCAGGCATTACTGACGCTCAAGGGGAGATGGCAAGGTTTGCTTCTTATACAATTATACATAATTATTCAAACATGTGTGTGTAAGTCTAAGTGTGGGTTATGGGTGCAAACTATGAAACGGCACCAGCTGCAACGCTGTGTGAGGGAAGGGAACGACTGTAATCGTATATATGGGCCATTCAGTGCAAGTGTGCATGCAGTGTATAGAATTCATCATCTGCTAGCCCACATCAATTCCTTTCCCTACAACCCATGCAAAATGTGGTTAAGAGACTTAGTAAAGTTGAATGCTCTGAGCTCAAACTGGGTTCTTGTACGGATTTCTGTTTTGTTTAGGATTCTTAGGTATGCAAATTAAAGGGGAAAAGTCTGTAACACAAAGAAAGCAGGTTCTAATGTGAACCTGGAGCTCAGGTGGGAGTGTTATTTGGCAGGAACAACAGTACATTGTTTAGCTTTTCCCTGGAAAATATGGAGTAAAAAATGGAATTCATAATCAAGTTTTGTGGTAATATCATGCAAAATCAAAGTGTCCCTCCTGTCCGTAGCACAATGCTATACCATTAGAAAAAAAAAATCGTTTTTGGTAAATATATATGCATGAGAAATCATATTTCCTTTCTTTCAATGGTTAAGAAGAAAGTTGTTGTCATACAAATTCTGACAACAGGATTAGTTACAAATCCTTTGCCTCTAGATCATCGAGAAGATTACAACTCATGGACACGTTTTATGTGTGAGTAAACGGTAATACCGAACAACAGAATTGCTTACAATATATAGGTTACAAACAACGTACACTCCATGCCGGCTTTAAGCACGTTTCGGACTCAAGCACGCTAAACGGCTCTTATCGAATTTTTGCAATATATATAAATTACATGCCTTTAAGCACGGTAACTTCGGTTTCAGGCACGCTTCATTTTCAAGACAGTCAATCAGTCAATATTTTCATGATGACCCATCGAAGTTCGAACCCAGTCTACACCGCAGAAGTGGAGTGTGTTAAGGGAAACACAAAGAACGCAAGTAATAGAAACACACACTCACATGCCCGGAGAGGAAGGCAGAGATGCACAAAGCCGCACCCGTGGACATAGGATCTAGCGTAGGGCAAAGCTACACACGACAAAAAAAAAAGTACAAAGAGAGTCGGGAAGAAGAGAAAGGGAGGCTTTGACCCTCGCTATCCATTAATCCTGATTGTGTATCACGCGCGAGGTGGGATGAAGGCGGTGGTATGAATGTGGCACTGCGGGCAGTGCTACGCACAGACAGTGTGTAGGCCTAGTGTGCTGTATCGTGACTGGCCGTCTAAATCAAGCTTTCATTTTCCATTCGACCACAAAACAAAAACAAACAAGCAAACAAAAACTACCGTAGCGGGTGTAAAAAATAGTGCACACTTTTGCAGGACCGCTATAGGCCTACTTACAAATAAAGGGAAATAGCACAGGAAATTTTCAACATGAAAATCTCTGGATTATGTCTACTTCGCACTCAAGCACGCTTCGGAGTTAAACACGCTTAAGCTTTCTCCCGATGACTGTGCTTAAAGCCGGCATGGACTGTAGTAGTATAGGTCTTTCTTTACATTTCCCATCTTGCACTTAGTATGTTGTAGTAGGCAGTTTAGTGAAAATTTCAAATTTGTCTGATATGCTTTGAAATACTTTCATTTGAAAGCTCTTGCCTTCATGTTCATAAAACAGTTTAAATTTTGTTGATATCTTTATTAGTTAAAAAGTTATGGTGATTTTTCATGCCTAAAATCCGGCCAATTTCAGGCCACTTTTAACACTGAGTTTTTGTGACACAAAAATGCAACTTTACAACACAAATGACCATTACTCAACACAAAATGCATATTTTTTAAAGTGTTGTACATCCGTTTATTGGGAATTTTACACAGAATGCACACAACTACAAAACCCCTCTTTACAAAGTCACAGAAATATTTTTTGGGTACTTCTAGAGGTTCAGGGTGATAAAAAATCCCCCGCAAGGATAACCCGAAATGGACAAAATGGGCTATATCTTAGCTGCTAATGGTCATATTTAGACAAATCATATATCATTCTCTTTGTCTTTTTTCACTGTTCATAATTATTAAAGAGTTAAGCCAATTAAGTAATAATTTCCAATTTTTATGGCCATTCTTAAGATTTCAAAACGTATTTTTTGTGTTTTTCTAACCGTTAAACGGATTCCGTAAAAAAAAAAAACAACCTCTTAATGACCGCCATAAGTCAGCTCCCTATCCTTCTTTTACAAAGTATTGTAACATACATTTGTGTGAAGCTATATTTTATGCTTTCAAGTGCATAAAAGAGCTTATAAATTCAAGAAAAATGCTCTTCGGAGACCTAGTTGTAGACCCACTGGAACATTTAATAAACTGCGGAAAGATGAAAATGAAAAAAATAACAAAGTCATTTTATGATCTTCACACAAGTTGCACTTGCAATTGTTTGGACAAATTATATTTATAGTCTACCTCATTCTATTATTTTTTCACACATGTTTCTTCACTATTCATTACATTTTGAGCTATTATCAACTAGCAATTTTTATTGATGAGCATTTTTTTTTTTTTATATTGAGTCAGACTCATTGGCCATAAATTATATTTTTTTAAATGGCACAATTTGATAATGTAAATGTAAAAATATCCAGAAAATAACAACATTAAATTATTAGGTACTGAAAGTGAAAGACTGAGCAGAGGCTCAGATAAACTCTGTTCTCTACTACTATACTACTAACAAGTAAGTTTGCGCAAAACTGATTTAAGAAAAAGGTTGTCTCATAAAAGCAATTGTTATGATGAGATTTATTATTAACTCTGAAATATATAGCTAGATGCTGAATCTAACATCAATTAGAACTGTGCAATTCAAATCAAGCTTTATTTCAATTCCAAAGCCCAAAGGCATAAATAGTTAGATATGCTGGCTTTTTGACTGTTTCTAGCCTACTACTGCTGAATTCTAGATTTAGCTATATCATTTGCACTATTCAAGAGCCAAATATGGTAAAATAAAAGCAAAACTGTGAATTCTTTTGTCAGTCCGTTCATAATTTCATAGTATTATTATTATCCGGAGAAACAAGTAAAGCGCGAATAAATGCGATGCCGGCGCAATACGTTATCACAGTGTGCAGGGGAGAGCGGGGGCGCCGGGTCACTGACCGGCCGATTCGGCGTTTCGGCTTTTTGTATGCATTTTTACGGGAAGCGCCGTAGCGTAGTGCGAAGTTCAACCTAAACAACTCGGGTGTCAAAAGAAACTAGAATGGATAATCTATAACTTCTGAAAGATTCATAGATATACAGCCAGTAGTTTTCATTTTATCGCGTTGTAAAAACTGCCTTGTTTTCAGATGCAAATATTTCCAGTTCTACTGAACCGATTTTCACGTGAAGACCGCCATTTTGAAGACCTTTCTTTTCTGTTTAAAAAGATGTATCGGGAGTGGTAGTGCAATTCGCAAAACGAAACAAAACTGTGAGTTGTTTAGACCCACCGCAGCGCGAGGCTTTACGGCCGGTTACAAAAATCTACGGGGCGCACCGCGGCCGATTCGCCCTGCCGCGAGCGCGTTCACTAAACTGTCTAGTTGTAGTTCACCATGGCACCAGTACATCAAAAGAAATTACGCCTAATATAAGCAATTGTCAGAAATTGAAAATGCTATGAAGGAATCCTATACTATTCACTAACTGATCTCCAAATTAATTCCGTCCCAAATGTAACTTTATTGAAAACAATCAGGGTTGTAGTTTCATTGTTTTAGAAACCCAAAGATCAGTTAGTCATTCTGGAAAATGAACATGTACAGTACATTTTAAATCATGAACAGCACACCAGGAAAATAAGTACTATGACCCATTCAGCACTCTCTACTTGTGCTGAAAACAACAACAAATGAACAGGAAAAATCTGCTAGATCCAAATCAGATTACAAAAATCATGATATTGCAAGAAATGGCAGGGCAGAAATTATATGTGATGTGGCTGTACCGTAGGTGTAAGAACATTAAGCAATACTCAGTGTGTTCTTGAAATGTGTATAAACTATTATGAAACAGACTGTACAAAAGTATTAAAAACGGGAAACAATGCAAAGAATCAAAATGCAACATATCTAATCATAAAACCATCTTTGTCATTAAAAATATCAGTAGGGAACCAAAGGTCAATATCTGAATGAACAAAAGTAATCATCCTTTTTTAAAACAATATGAAATGTACTGATATCCTCAGGGAGAGAAAGTTTTAAACATTCATACTGACAAAGGTGAGGAATCATAACTCTTAAAAGTAAGAGTTAATTAACAATCACAGGTACATCAATATATATCAATAGCACTTTTCTTGAATAAATGAAAAATTTCAATTTAAATTGCAAGTCATTGGAGAAAATCTGAATCTCTCACACACATGATTATAATAAGAATAAAGAACAATCAATTTCATACATATCTAACTGGTTCTTATTATAGTCAGTCTCAAAGACCTTGATAATGATAGGATTTAGAAACTAACCATGTTGCGAAGGCTAAATGCAGCATCATCATAAATATGAAATATTTAAGATACATGACAGAATCAACGTTTGTTTTTTGTATTTTCTCCAAGCGACTTCTTTAAAATTAGCTAGTAGCCTGACTCCAAAATACCTCACTAGTCATGTGGCAAAGTCTTACACAAAGTAGTCAAAATGTAGAAACGAAAGTCTACAGAGATCTCTCGCTTAAGACATCTGCAAAGATGTAATAAAAGGTGACCACTTACAAGCGAAAAGATATACACACACTAACATGACACACATATAATACTGAAAAATCTGCATTATACTTAAAAAATAAACAGCACTTGACAAGACAGCAGGGAAAAGGGCCAATAATATTCTCAGAAGATGCAGGATTTCCTCCCAAAAAGACACCACACCCTAAACCTTTGCAGTAGTCTCCCCCTAAACACACACCATACAAAAGCACGCTCTGCTCAAACCCACGCTTTCGTCATATGAAGTTTTTTTAACTATATAATTTAGATGTACAAACACACGGTCACTTCTTCTAAACGCATGCTTCAATCTGCGAATCACATCGACAGGTAAAGTTTGACAAGGGGGAATGTTCATTACAACTTCCACAGCTTAGAAGTCAAGCCTAAAAAAACGGATATTTGGTGGAACTGCCCCTCATGCCGAACAAAGAGAGTGATGGACAGCGTTTTCAAACCCAACTTTCCACAGACACATAGGTCTAGGACTAGGACTAGTCGGTGAAATGTTGGAGGGTTGGGAGACTGAAATATTCTTTGATTGGTCACTGGAAATGCATCTTTGAGAGAAGGTTTCTGACTGATGTTTGAGTGACTGCATCTAATGAGTAATGTTTAGTTAGACCTAGGTCTATGATGCGCAACATTCGTGAATGCTGCAAAACACTAGATAAGCCTCTCTATGGGATTAAACATTCGTCAAGTAAGCTTAATCAGCTGCGCTCGAAGAACTTATAACGTACTTGTTCAACGAATCACAAGAGAAATGTTTCTCTGAATGTAGAGATCTGATCTATCTAGATCTATGATTCTGATGTCATCCATGAATTTATTGTCGAGGATGGTAGCTTGGAAAGTCATTTGTGATTGGGCTGTCATCTCTATGACTATCACCAACAGTTTCCTCTTAGGCTGTCTGTTCCCGACATTTTATGGTGCATATCATAACACCGAGTCTGTCTTTCTGCCCCTCCTTTCAATGCCTTTGTATTCTTAACCGCAGTCGGGGAATCCTTCACTAAACAGTCACATGTCATCACATTATTGACCAAAATGACCCCCACCTCCAAGGGAGGTCACTAGAATATCAAGGAATTGAGACGACTGCATCCCTTCCTCCCTAAACTCCCTTTCCACAGGTTCTTGTAAACGCATGCTCCGATTAAACACACGCTGAAGAGCCCACCCGAGCACCGTGCATTTAGGTGGAGACTACTGTACACGGTTAGGAAAATCGAAGTTGTGAAAAACACACAGAATGATGGCCATCCAAGGGGTAGGCATACACCACACAATGATCTGAAGTGAAATTAAAGCTGCTCACACTTCGAATACATTCTGAAACTGTCAATTTAAGAAACTAAGTGTGTTAGACCTAAATATCTTCATAGAGATCTTCTGCTTCATGCTGGTCACTGGGGTCCTCAATAACAGGTTCTGCTGAAGAGTTAGGGTTTGGCACCAAAGGTGGGGGGCATTTCGGTAAAGGTGGTGGTCTGGTAGGTTTTGAAAAAGGAATAAATTTCTTGACATTAAATCTAAAGGGACGGGCAGCTTCAACAGGTAAGGGGCTTTTTAGAAAATGCTGAGCCTGTTCTTTGTCAGGCTGCTTCACTGTGGGGACTGGGGGTAGGGGGAGACTGGCCTTCGGAGGAGGTGGAATCTTCCCTCCCTGCTCTTCCGTATTTTCGTAAAATATATCACTATGATAATCGTCTTCAGGAGCTTGAGCAGTTTTGCTTTCCTTTTCTTCACCTGCTGTCAAATAGATCTCACAATTGTCATCGTAAATTTCCTCAGGTGAGCTGTCATCGTCCATAACCCCATGAGAACTGTAATTCAAAGCTAAATAGTCTTTTGAAAAACTTTTGAACTTCTTTTTCTTTTCAAGTAAAGAAAGTTTCTTAGCTGAAACATTTTTGGTGTCCTGGTCACCGATGTCCTCAACACATTGATCAATATCTTCATAGATACGTTCATCAGATGTATCTGTAGTTTCACCATAAATTGTTTCATTTAGGTATCTGGGAGTCATGTAAGCTTCCTCAGCAAATACTGGGGATGGAGAGACAAGGGAACTCTTTGCAATAAGCTCCCGGAAAACTGCATTTTTGCTCTTCACTACTTCTTCATCTAGTAGATTGTACAGAGAATCAGAGTCCATGAAAGAAGAGCCTGCTACTGTTTCATTCATCTCATCCAGTTCAAACATGCTCGAGTTCAAGGTAGCTATAGATGGACTTGTTTCGGGTGGTTCACCTCTACTGGAATCCTTTACTTCTTCCATTGGTAACTGATACTGTTCTAAGCAATATCTGAAAACACAAAACAAAGAAGGAAACATTTTTAGATTCATATAATTAAAAGTAAAATATTGATGGTGTTAAAGTTTGAACCCATGACCTTTTGGTTGTTAGTCCAACAACCTAACCACTAGACCACTGATGTTTTAACACCTAGGGGACCAGCCACACATTTCACTTTTAGTTGCCCAGTGTCAGAGCTACCGCCCGCTTTCAGATTATGCAAGATGTGTGTTACTCTGAAAGGAATAACTCAGTTCCCAGTGAAATCATAGACATGGCACTTCACCAACCTGTATATTACACTTCCCAAGCAAAAACACATTTTCCTTGAAAAAATATTTTTGTTTCAGTCATTTAGGTGAAATCAGTTATGTAATAGAAAACTTTTTTTTTCCAGAGTCAGTTTGTAACAAGGATAAAATAATAGATCTAAATCTGTTTATAGAGAGGATTGCTCCTCTATCAAATGATGACTGGGTCCAGATCTTTCTTTCATCACTTTCTTCTCAATTTGAAGACTTTTGATTCAAACAATCAAAGTCATTGTCCCAGACAATAGTGTTTGAGTCCATGCAAATTTCATCGAGCACCTCAAGTGTGGTGAAATATATACCTTATCTAAATCCATTTTTTCGCCTTCCACATTTGATTGCCAGAAAACGGAAGCAAAATATCTAAACAGTACTGCCAAGAGGCCACCGATGTGGTCTATGTGTGTGTGTATGTGTGTTGGTGTGTTTGTATGTCACGGCGTCCAATATTCCGTCTCAGCGATCTTTTAGTTTGTCCAGGTCCCCCGTGTTTGGCCATAAATCACCGGCAGGTGACGTGCAATTTCACACGTCTGGTCAGGGATTGACCGGAGTCAACTCGAGCAAAGCGCCATCCTATCTTGTCCTTATCAGAACGTGTTTCTTCCCCTAATTTCATGAGCCGTAAAATGATGCTCACTCTACCCCTAGAGTATATTTCTTTGCCAATTTCGCTTCGTCTACGTCTTCTTGGTATCTTGTAAAAGTTTCACCAGTTTTCATTGATTCGCTTGGGAATAATAACAGTTTTAAATTGTACGTGTTAAGTGATCGAAAGTGCCGTTGATAATGTGATCTCTTCAAATTTAATTACAAATCATTCCAAAATGAAACGTGTGTGTTCATGTCTGTTTGCACACTGTGATAGCCTTCAAATCATATTTTCTAAAGATGTGAATTTTGTTTTTCCAGCACTTTGCAGTGACTGGCACTCAGTTAGTGAATTGTGTTCTTAAGTAAAAATGTTTAAACTGCCATGGGTTACACATATATATGAGAGTCATAGACAGTCTCTGAATAAACTTTGTCGGGTGTGTTGGTGTTTAAAATTAAATGTCAAACAAAAAAAAGTACAGAAAGCCCTGATTATGTAAGACCATGGCAGGAGGTATTCTCTTGATTTATGGGATTGATGTGAGGGACAACAAGATTAGAGAAATAGTGGGAACAACACCTGTCCTCCACTACATCCGAAGGCAAACAATCAGATGGTTTGGATATCTCACACATATGGCACGTAACCAGCTGGCCAATAAAGCCCACTACAGGAAAGTGTCAGTGTCAGGGTACAAAGCAAGAGGAAGACCAAGAAAGACCTGGATCAGGGTATGAAGGGTACCCTGAGAACATTCAATATCCCACCCAGCCAGGCCATCAAACTTGCTAGAGACAGGAAGCTCTTTCTCCCCTCGACGCCCTAGAGGTACAAGAGGATGGATAAAGTAAAGTAAAGTATGTGAGGGATGAAGATAAACAGTCATATTCCGGTAACATTTGTGTCAAGCGTTTTAGTTTTACCGCGATTTCAACTATCAAAAAGAGATAGGGTGTTACGTCACGTCAATTCAAGCTGCAAAAAAAAGCTGTCGACGCTAATAGGAACATGTGGTGTGCGTTTGACAATAACATAAATGTGAATTCCTGCTCCGTTTGTTGGCGTACTTGGGTGGCTGCATACAAAGATCCATTTTAAGCAAACATCGCAACACACCCCAAGCATACTATAGCAGATTCATGGGCAATCACTGTCACAAGTACCTCCGTCCCCATGTACAAGGAACTAACAAACACAATTTGTACAAAAACAAGAAAATACTCCCAGGAAACTGCAATAATTGAGGAAGTAAGTGGAGTGGAAGCAATATAAAAATAATATTAAATCATCTCAATGAAAGATTTAGCCATGTTCACACAGTAATCTCAAGCCAGTCAAACAATTTTCACTTCCAGAAATCCTCGAAGCAATCGACAATTATTGGCCACTTTCAGACGCTATTTCCCCGCAAAGTCATCCCAAAGCAACACATATTGCAATACTGTATTCCACACTTACAACAACACATGTTTGCTCTCTGACTTTTGGGAGAACAGTGCACAGAAAGCAGCCATCTCAAAACTGGAAGCCAGAGAACGAAGGATCCCAAACTCGATAGACAAAATGCGTTTTATTTTTGTGTCCTATCTCCTGCAAATAGCACCCTCATTGCATGCTGCTGGATAGGTTTAGAAAGAAAAATTGTACTCACACTTTTATTCTGTACATATTCATTTTGTGAAAAGAAATTGGTGCTGTATATTAAAGATACATCAGTATATCATTATTTAGGAGGATACACATTTCATTGGATACAAAAAGAAATGAATGCAGTGAAGCGTTTAGGCTATCATGCTCATGACAAGTTCCATGTTCGTGCTGGGGACAAAATTTTGAGCAAGTCAATTTTTTAACACATTTTCCTGTCTTACGTAGCAGTTTTGTAAATATTTCTATTCCTATGCTAATATGTGTTTGTTGTTTTGACTAACTATAAATAGACATACATTTTAAGAGCATCTAACTCCAAAACGTGAGCAGCCATGGTATTGCTTCTTCTTACCAATAAAGAAGTTTAGTTGCTTTCTCTAAAGAATAAACTTGTGTTCACGTATGATATTATTTTGTTTGTGTAAGTCGATAAAACATGAGTTGAAAAATTCATTTCATCGGCTACCGACGCAGGTAGCGGGATGTCGGATTAGTGACCTCTGTGTGAACGGCCCACCATGACCAGGTCACTCCATCGCCGAGCCAACTAAAAGAGCGGTGTTTGTACGCCTTGAGGTGTGTGTGTGTGTGTGTGTGTGTGTAAGTATGTGTGTGTGTGTGCTCTTGTGTGTTTATGGTGCTATTTGCAAACGTATAATTAGGTAGTGTAAACACGGCACGTAAGCTGACTCGTGGCCTTCCCAGCGCGTGGTTTCGGTGAAATGGGGGTATATAGGCCTAATTCAGATCGCTGTTTCTTTGCTCTTTTATTATAAAACACCAAATGCTGTACACTTTGAAAAAGTTGATTTTCTTTGCTGCAATAGTTTAAGTTGTTTGTATATATCCGAGTATTTGAAGCTGAAGAATCGCCATGGAAAGGGAAGCCCCTCGCGGTCGGAATGCGAGGTCGGCCTGTTCTAAATTGACACCCATGCATTCAAATGCTTTGCAGAAGGATTGAGGATTAAATACCGTCTTTTCATTGTCGGAGAACTATACAGCTTTAAGCGTGATTTAATAAAAATAATTTAAAAAATAGCTTTTATACTGCGCATTTCCATTTTCTAAAAAATGCTCAATGCGCATTACAACGAAAAAGACATCACATCTTAAAAATTAATCGACATTCGTGTACGTAAAACAAAGTATTATACATATAATATAAATGTATACGTGTAAAAATTTCTATTAGAAAAACAGTCTCGCAGTGAGGTTGGAAATGTGTTCACTAAAATTTCCCATGGTATATTTTTGGCCTTTGGCGTTCGGACAGAAAGCCTTTTAAAAAAGCGTCTAAGTTTTCAAATACCCTTTTTAACACGAAATGTGTTAAATAAGGGGCTAAAAATAGGTACCAATAGAAAGAACAGTTCTTTTTCTATAGAATAAAGTCATGGGCTTGGAATTATTTCGCAAGAATACTTCCGCGAAACTACCGGGAGTACTTTGAACTCAGTACACTAGAGTATAGAGCCGACTCGCTCGCTGCGAGGACTAGTGCACCTGCCGGGACAAGGCTCAGTGTTTTTATTGAAATAACAACAGACCAACGTGTTTGAGGCAAATAAAATACTGATTTGTAATTATCTCACAGTCTTGAAAAAAATTAGGCTTAATTTTTTTGTTATAGTGATTGTACTCTGTTTGTAGAGACATTTGGTGCACTTGGTACTCTTTTATTATCTGTCAAACATTGGATTGCAGCCAGTTAGAGACTTCAGCAATATTTGATTATGTTAAATTAAAACAGCCGCCATTCTCTTAAAATTTTACTCAGAAGTAAACTTATGGCACCAAAATTCTCAGGGGACATAGGCTTTCCATATGAAACAGATGAATTTGACATCAGCTACTTTGAAAATTTAGTACAACATGCATCTGGTACCTAGTACAATGCAAACATTTTGTTGCATTTGACATGAAGTCCATTCTCGAGAAAATTTTGTTTTGTTCATAAGTTTTTTTCTATGTAAATGAACAGTTTTCTACTTCTGTGTGTAACCTTGTAGTGGCATAGCCAAGATAACCGCTAAATTTAAAGTCTCTATCTCAATTTTAAGACCCCCGTTACTATTGAAACATATTGCTCAACTTCAGAGGCCTTTTTCTCCTTTTCGTCTTTCCTCACCTTGCACAATTAAAGATTTCATATTTTCGTAAAATACGGTCACATTTACTTCAATCTTTTTTAAAATTGTAGTTAGGGAAAAGGTGATAGTTTTTAAAAATAATGTTAACTCAGTTTTGAAACTATCTTCATATGACTGATATTGACCAGCAGGGACACAAATATGCTGGGGGGAAACATTAACTGCCCTTTGATTAGATCTAAGTATAGAAAAAAACACAGGGTGGGAAAAGAGTAGGAATAGTAATCACGGACAGGAGCAATGAGCTTGTTTCAATAGTCGAAAGCAATTCAGATTACAGTACACTCTCGCCGAAAAAAA